GGCAATCAGAGGCTAGGGACACCTGGCTATTGTCCATGAATGTAGGCATACCTATCATCCATGAATGTGGGCTGTGCCCACGAAAACTCATGATACCATCTACATGTTTTGTTAGTCTATAAAGTGCTACCAGACCATTTGCTGTTTTTTTCTGTAACAGACTAACTTGGCTACCCCCTGAAACTCTTAACATAGTTTTTTTGTATTTAATTATTTGCATTGAACTAGAACCTTGTGTCTTATCAGGGCTTATAAATTGTGAAAGTGCACAATAAACTCAAACCATTGATGGCTAGAGAAGCAATAGACCAAGACCAGAAATTAAACTTGGTTGTTTTGCATGGCAGTGCACACTGTTAGCATAGGTCACCATGCTGAGCCATTTGAAGTTATTTTTATGCACAATATTAAATTAGTCGTGAGACACAAAAATCCTTGTGCAGTTAAAAAGCTGATTTCAAGAGATACATCCTCGGCAAAAATGTTCAATAAATATTCCTAGTGTTATATATCTGTAAAATCCATCTATGAAAATGCTTGTACTGTACTGCATATAAAAAAGCAAGCAGGGTTTTGCGTGCCAGTAATTCTCCATATTGCACTAAATACACACACTGATGTCAATATGTGTGTAATTAAGGAAACAAATATTGGCCAGGACACTGGTATGCCATTAAGAGATCATTTCTTCCTCCAAAACTATGGGTAAAAGCAACCTTAATCAAACATTATATTTGCCATTTCTGAGTGCTCAATACATGCCTATGCCGCATAGAAAACACATCCCCTTTTCTTAGATTAAATTTGAACTCTGAACTTTCTCACAGACTGTTAGAAGTACTCATGTGTCTGAGTCACTAATATCTAACATGGAAAACACAAATCTACAATAAAAAAATCAATTATTACCGATATAACTAAATTATCAATGGTATTAAAATATTCCAATTAAATCATACATTTTGTTTATGTTATTGATTGGCAATTTATAAACATTTCCTGTGGTAGTAAGTCACCTTCTTTAAATTATTATGTTTCACGCATAAATTTCAAAGCCCACTTAGAAGACTAAATAAGTATTTCATTTTTTACCCTTAAGGTGACTGTTCAATTTATTTCTTGCCTAATACTCTTCTTTAAGTAAGACAAATTGTTACTCAAAAATGCCACCTGTGATTAGTGCATATGCCACATCTAAAGAAATGACTATATTGCTTAATGCTAAGTATATGCATCAAGTCCTGTAAATGGCACTTAAGACTTAGAATTATACGTCAGTTCCCTCATTTGACTTGTGTGACAACTAAGCTTAGTAAGTATTTTATTGGCATTTCAAGCCACAAACACTGCCATTTTCATTCTTCACATACATGTATCTTCATAGTAGTTGTCTTATTCCAAATTGTTCAGAGCCAAGAATTGTTCACTGCTAAAACCAGGTACAGTGTAAAGGGGAAAATATTCAGAGGAGGACAGGCAGAGTTTAACAAAATAATGAAATTAATCTCTTAGTAAAATTATGCTGGAGTCCTAGATGGATTTTTTTTTTAAACAGAAAGTGAGTAGTTAATAGCCCGGCTCACACACTCGATTGGATCAGCATCATTCATTTAATTTCATTTCATTCCAAGCTGACAATCAAACTATCCCATAGTTCTACTAATACTTCCATGTCTACAATCAAATTTAATATTTCTTTATTCTCATTCTAAAAGCAGTTTTATGGTCTAATAAAAGCTGTTGTTAAACATTATATATTATTGGTGAAGACAAAAGATACTGTCAGCTCTGAGTCCAAACTTTTTGACTATGTAGTGCAATGTGCTTTTCATTAGTCTTAATGGCTCAAGAGAAAATTGCTTCATTACTTATTTTGAAAAACATGATATGAAAAGCTCATTGATCTACGAAAAGCTCATTGATCTACAAAAACTTAAGTATTGCTTAATGTATTTCTCGCTGTACAGGCAGTCCCCGACTTACGCGGATCCGACTTATGTCGGATCCGCAGTGACGAATGGGGCTGCCCCGGAGTACACGGACGGCAGGACCTCGTGGTCCCGCCACCCGTGTACTCCGGGCGAGAAAAGCTGCTCCGCGTCTCCCTGGTCTGCAGACCAGGAAGACGCGGAGCAAAGCCGCTGCCTGAGCCCCCGCAGCTTTGCAAAGCCTCCGGGAAGCCGGCAGCGGGGCAGCCCAGACACCCCGCGGCC